TAACCGTTTTGAAAGGCCCGGTGTTTGCGTGTGCCCTCCAGTAACAAATACAGACTATCATAATAATGCGTTTCAATTAAACGGGTAAAAATAAATAAGCAATTTATAATTCATAATAACAATTTAATCACCCGAATCATATTTTTTCTTGCATCTACATCCTCGAATCGGCTTATTATTTCTCCAATGGTTTCTACTATTCCAGCTTGATCCAACCCAAGTATACTAGGTTGAAATAAAGCTTCTGGAACTCTTATCCTTTCAACATTTACATGTAATTGATGCATCTGTGCAAAATTCTCTGGATCAAATGGAGGTGTGACTCCTCGAGTAAACATGAAAATAAGGGAATTCTTAACAGAGTTCTTTGCATCAAATGTATGCTCTGGAAGAAATGTAGAATCATATTGGAGAAGCTTGGTTTCATATTCTCTCAATAAGGTTAATTCTTCTTCTTCTTCCCATGCGTCTTCTTCTCTACTCTACAAGCGATTAATATACATTGAATGTAAATGATACATAATACACGTAACTCACGCTTAACTTACTATTTCTTTATAAATAGCCCAATCATTATCATCCATTCCAAATGTGTCCTCTATTTGGTAAAAGAAAAATAATTAACTAAAAGATTAATTCAAATCATTCATATAATGTACTTGATAATTACCATCTTGACCTCTTCTACGTCTCTTTTGCTGTGGAGTGTCGCTAGCCAAATTAGCAATTGATTTCATGCGCAATTGGGAAGCATGACTCCTCCGATCAGAGAGTTGTTCTTTTTTTCGTTTGAGATTTTTTACTTTATCAAGTTGATTCTGAAGGACAGTCAATTAGAACATGTTCATATTTTCATCATTGACTCTTAAGAAAAATAATAAAAATTGGATACCTGATAATTCTGCTTAAGTTCGTTTAACCAGCCTTCAAAATCCGTTTGTCGTCTTTGCTCTTCCATTCTTTTTTCTTCTTCCTAACAAAAGTACGATTATACGTAAAGGATTTTCTTATAAAATATGAAATAGTTTATATAAATCAAATTATTAAGGCAGAGAATTTACTTGCTGTCGTCTAGCTAACTCTTTTGCTTCTCGTTGTCTTTGACGTGTTTCATGAAGACTCTTGGAAGCAACTTGCTTTTTTTTCTCCTTTCTCTCAGCCTCATTTAACTGATCGTCCGGTATATCTACCAGTGGAAATGTAGGTTCTTCCTGAATTCAATATCAGATTAAAATTAAAATTATAAATTAAATTATACCATGACAATACGATAATTAACAACACCATGTCTATTTTATTAGATACCTTTATTTCAACCTCTTCAATTCCTAATAATTTATTCCTTGCTCGTTGTACTGACTTTTCAGTTTTTTGAATGTTCTCATCCAATTCTGCTTCATCAC